CAGATTGCGAGTTGAGTGCCGTAACCACCTGGCCATGTCGGGCATTCTTAATAGAACTGACCAGAAGAAGTTTTGCTTTCTTATTGGTTAGTGTTATTGAGGATTTTTTTGGATCGACCTAGATTTGAAATTTTAAACAATCAATTCTCATCAGAATTAGTCATGTGTACAGTGATATTGTTTCTTCATTAGTAATATTGCTGCAAATGTAAGACTAAACCAACGTAACGTAGAGATTAGTTTGGTTTGTTTGGATTTAAGCACAAAGCTACACAATGGGCTATATGTGCTCTGCCCACCACGGGTATCGAAACCCGGTTTCTAGCGTTTAAGTCCACAGACATACCGCTGTGTCACTGGGGGGCATAGAGATTAGAAATAAGTAGTTTAAAGTTACCTTTTTCATAAGACTTGAGATGATATTTAATGGAGTCTCGAAGATACTTTCTCCCTGAAGTGGGGTGGACAAAGCTAGATCCACAAGACTCTGTGAAAAAAAAACAGAAGAGTTTGTGGGTCATCGAAAAAAGGGAAATCACAATTAACACAAAGTGAGTTATACATGGTAAAATATATTATAGTATAAAGTGAGTTATACATGATAAAATATTGTATAATATAAAGTGAGTTACACATGATAAAATATTGTATAGTATAAAGTGTGTTATACATGATAAAATATTGTATAGTATAAAGTGAGCTACACATGATAAAATATATTATAGTATAAAGTGAGTTACACATGATAAAATATTGTATAGTATAAAGTGAGTTACACATGATAAAATATTGTATTGTATAAAGTGAGTTACACATGATAAAATATTGTATAGTATAAAGTGAGTTATACATGGTGAAATATTGTATAGTATAAAGTGAGTTACACATGATAAAATATATTATAGTATAAAGTGAGTTACACATGATTAAATATTGTATAGTATAAAGTGAGTTACACGTGATAAAATATTGTATAGTATAAAGTGAGTTACACATGATAAAATATAAAGTGAGTTACACATGATAAAATATTGTATAGTATAAAGTGAGTTACACATGATAAAATATATTATACTATATTATAGTATAAAGTGAGTTACACATGATAAAATATATTATAGTATAAAGTGAGTTACACATGATAAAATATTGTATAGTATAAAGTGAGATACACATGATAAAATATTGTATAGTATAAAGTGAGTTACACATGATAAAATATATTATAGTATAAAGTGAGTTACACATGATAAAATATATTATAGTATAAAGTGAGTTACACATGATGAAATATTGTATAGTATAAAATGGGTTAAACGTGATAGAATATCGTATACTATGAAGGGATTCTTAACATTGTTCATTTATTTGATAGTTTTAGCATAAACATGTAGCCCAGAAAGTAACTGAGATGGCTTTGTTTCGTCTTTCTCTATAATAGTTAACATCTATTCTGCCTGACAGTATATCGCAGTAACATATAGAATCCGGGTAGAAAGGATTGACACTGTAATATTCTTCGCTGGCCGAGTTGACGTTTACTACATGTAACAGCCGACCAATGCTGTAAGAGAACAAGAGTCACGAGATAACGCTGTCGACTAGACAAAGAAAGTGTTTTACCTGTTGAATCCAGGTGTGCTTTCTAGGAGATCGTGTTTTATCTCTACGGACACTAATCCTAAACAAAACAAAGTTGTGGATCTAAACACTCCAGTAGAATCAGCCTTAGTTCCTTTTGCGCAAGTACGCACACTGTGGTTTTTCTTTGTTTGTAATAATAAAGAGTTTTTTGTTTTTTTTCACTTACTTATATTTGTCTAGTATCGTTATTTTTCATTTAGAGAAACTCGGTTATGTTGTCAAACGAAAAATACTCCCATTATTTCTGCTTTTATTTTTGGGCTGACCAATCTGATATTTGTCTGGGAAATCGGTTTTCCCTGATAATGCCACAAGAGCACACTTATTGTCGTATGTTTCTGTAAATTCTACAGGCCTGTTCATTTTAACAGTGTTTATTATTACCCTTTACTTTAAATCGACATTATGGTAAATATTTTCGTATTATTATTAAGACTGTCCCCATTTTTCCATAGCTAATAGCGGTAATTACTAGTAGACCTACTGTTTAATAAGGTAAGTTACCTACAAATAAAAAGCATACTTTTAAAAAACTTTGAAGGCTTCACTGTTTTCATAACTCAGGTAACATGGTCTTAATCCCCCTCTGAATCACGAGGCAAAGGGACAGTAAAAATAAAGTAATAGGTCTTGGCCTAATAAAAGAAAGACAAGTAAACACAGAAGCGACAAGGATGTGCATCCCAAATCAATAATATTCAATAGGCATAATATTCAAATCGGTAGGAACGAGTGTTCGCCTGCGTTAAGTAAAGTATCATTCATCACAGGTTTGTCGTGAAAAAGGTGTAAAACATCGATTTTCTCATGTTATATAAATGTTCTAGTCAATGTGGGATTACATTATAAGCCCTCCAGTGTTTACAACGCTTGGCGTCATTGTCTACTGATGAAATCGCGTGGTATTCAAGTAAATTGTAAATTTGTCTTTCTTAATTTAAAGGAAAAAAACAAGAACAATATATATAAGTAAATTTATGTTACTTACTATATGGTGAAGTAAAACAGACTCAAAACACCATATAAATAAATAAATGATTATAAATTTGTCTTATAATTATATAAAGAGTATATTTCGGAAATTTGTAAAGTAAGAGTTAAGGCAGCAAACACAAGTGAACATTCAATCATTATTAACTATGATTAATATCTTTAATAAAGCTGACTTGCTTCCATTTTCGTTCATTATGACGTCTATTGGCTGTCAGAGCAGAGGAAACTTCACTTTTGCTCTGGATGAAAGACAGGAGCTCGAATGTATTCACACATACTGTTAACTAGCAATAAATATTCCTAGAGCGGTATCCCACCATCCTATATTACCTGCATTAAAGCTTTTTCAACAGCCCAATCACACAGAAATCCTTAGACGCTGCATCTAGTGACTTGACTGGTATGTCGTCTGAGCTACTTGTGTACATGTGACTTGTATTGCTCTTATAGATGGAAATCCTTCTTGATTATATTGCGTACATATTGTTGTCTGTGACACGTGGCAGGCTTTTGTCACTGAAGTTTATGCTCGTGGATTCTCACCTGTTACAAGACGCTGCATTTTGTTTACCACAGCTGAGTTATGATTTGTTGCAGGTCTCTTTTTGGATAGCCTTGGTGCTCCTAGTTGATCCACATTTCTTTACTTTCCAACTTCATTAAGTTCCAGGGATATCACTGTCTTGTAAATTCTAACCCGATGACTACCGGCT